TGGTTGTGGTGAAGCCTTAAAGCTTCCAGCAGAGCAGATGGGCAAAGCCTGGAGCTGTGGGGATCCCTGGGAAGAAGGTCCTTGGAGATGGCCACAAGCCCCGTCCCAGCCAGGAAGTGCCATCTGGGCTCTGCCCATGTGTTGCCCAGCTGCTCTGGCGCTCGCCCGGGGGATCTGCCGTGGCTGGGGGAGAAGCCCTGGAGGCCTCCTTAAGAGGGTGGGGACACTTTGAAGGGAGCCAGGCTGGCCTGGCCTGGACACAGAGGGGAAGGGGAGCAGCAGCAGCCACAACGCCTGGGCCACCTCAGGGAGAAGCACCCCAGGGGCGCAGCTCTTTGGGGCAGGAGACGGGCACCAGGCCTGCCGGGATCCGATGTAATAGCAGGTCTCCCTTGGCAAGGACTTGCCAGAGCTGCTGATTTTGGTGGTGCCCTCCCCGCTGGCTCAACTGTGCCTCAGGTTTGTCCCTTCAGCTCCACAAGTCATTCTCCGGGTGAAAACACAGGTGAGGGGTGTCAGTGGCTGCTGGGTGACCAAGTATGTCAGGGCTGTCTGACCAAATTTGCTGCTATAGAGCCGACCACTCCACCACACACACTGCGGTGGCAAGGGCTGGTGTCAGTTCCACCAGCAAACACAGAGTACAGGCAGCGAACAAAACAAAAGGTTTCAAGTGTGAAGGTTGAAGGAAGTCAAAGTCTGTTACAAATACCACTGGGGCAAGAAGCTACCGGGTATTTAAGGTTTTCTAGCTGCATCTGTGATAAACAAGGAGAGTTTTCCAGTGACTTGGAGTAGGAAGACTTCGTTCTGAGTCCAAAGCTGTGGGTTTTAAGTCAGCCCTCCCACTACGTGACTGCTGCTCAAGAAGGCTCTTACTTGGAAAAGCATCAGTTGCCAGTGCATAGGATACAATACAAGAAGAAGGAAATGGTCCTGTGCTGTGCTGTTAAATTTATAAGTCTAGACAGGCTTGTATTTCTGGAGGTCAGAAATTATTAATAATGAATAATTTTGGTGCCTGTAAGTGGTAAATTTATTCATTTAGTAGAATCTAAGTTCTCTGCTAGGTGCCTAGAGACAGCATGAAATGCAGAGGTAGAGGGGCGGCACTGCCTTCTTGCTCATATAAAAGGTACTGAAAAATAGAGAAAGAAATTTGAACCTAAGGTTCAACATGTCCATGTAGTGCCATCTGTTTATTTTTTCTTTCCCCCTCTCTGCGGTTTCCTGTGCTTCAGGCAGACTTGTTCTTAGTGGCCCCCTAACTGCTGTCCCGCAGCCCCTCAGCTCTGACTGTGCTCGCTCTCTGCCAGATCCAGGCCGGGACAGGACACAAGAGCAGGACCGTGCCCGTGGCCACTTCCGCAGGGCAACACAGGTAGCTGCAGCCATCCCCCCCGGGCTGGGCCTGCTGTCCCTGCTCAGCCTGGCACCGCTGTCACAGCTCTCCATGGCCCATCCCTCTCTTCCCTGCCCTTTGTTCTCCTGCA